AAGATCAGGAGGTTCTTATGTGTGAGTTATTATGATACACAATTTTATCCAGGAATGTAAATTTGAGTTGCAAATTTAGGGTTAAAAAGAACATAAGATTTTAAATAGTATTTTGATAAATTCGGTAATCAGTTTTGTTGGGGTTATAATTGGTAAAAATACAAATTTGTGAATAAAAATAAAGTTTCTTCATTTTCTGGTAATCAACAATCTTTTATCTCCTTCACGAAGTTAAGAACATAGTTAAGAATGTACCGCCTAAATTGCCAATAAGTACCCCAAAAGTGCAAGTCTTCTAAAAAAAGTAGGTTCTTATTAGCGGGTGTTTACTGTGTTACAACGATGGTGTTTGGCCTAAATTCTTACAACCGTAAAACAGCCAATAAGAGAGGTCCATTCATCCTTCACACCTCTTCGCCTGGACAATTGCTTCCCTGATATTTGTGTTGCAGCTCAGTTAGTACTTCACAGGTATGTGTAGAGCCGCGGTTTAATATCGGTTCCGTGGTAGAAGGGTTCATAATTATAGGTTAGGTCCTAAGTTAGGTGTTTATTCTGCGACAGAAGAAGATTCCTTTCCTGAGTCAACCTTATTAAAGTTAGTCTTCAGCGTAACGTTTGGAAAATCGCACTCGAATTTTTAGGCTTGTTGTTGCTTTTGAATAGTTTGCCAAAAGGGGGCCCGGAGCGTTCCATTCCACTATTCCATAGTATTTCCAAATAATATACTGTGAAAGTTGTCCAGCAAAGGCAGACACATAAACAAAGGTTGTCTTGTATAACTGTTGTATTAAGTTGAGCAAATTATACATTGTAAAACTGAAGAACACAATTTAAGCGTTCACTTGCATTCCAGATGCTGTTATCCAAAAGAAAATTCCGCCGTTTATATACATAAAACGTACAAAATAGGGGAAATTGCTCGCGGAGAGTGCCCCTAAACTAAGTGTAACCAAGAAATGGGAACTGAATGATTTACGAAACAGCCCATTTTACATAACGCCTGAAAATACACTGAGTAAATATTTCTACCGGCAAGGAGCGGGGAGAGACGACTGTATTTGTAGGCTAATTTTACAAATATAGATGGAAACGAGGCATTGTTTTGATAAAGATCTTCCGGTGTTGTATTTGTACTTAGTATTTTTCAAGCATGATTTCTATTAAAAGGCTAAGGGTGAGGCCCTTTTAAGGGGGTTACGTTTGTTTCTAGCCGTAATTTCAAAACCTGTCGTTTCGCGTTTTGAGGATCAGTATTTTACTGCTGTGTTTGCGCTTTTCTCTATTGCTGTCGGAGTTTCAAACCATCTTTGTGTCGTTTGTCACCATTTCTGCTGTCCTATGTCACAAATGTCGCTCTTTGAAATTTTACCTTAACAGGGACTCTAGGGTTCCGAGCCCACAACTGTAAAATGACCGTCTATTGAGTCTATTATTGCGATTGTTTGTAATTCAATTCAATTCTTTATTTCACACTATATATGACATTTACACAAGTGTACGTAGGTAGCTATAGGCTAAAAGACATTAAGTTCATTTGTGTACAGTGTCCAAAGTAGCAAGAGCTTTCTTGTTGGACACGGTCATGTTCAGATATTGGCAGCAGTAAAGAGAGGAAATAATATCAGTGATTGAACATATAAGTAAGGTCAAATTTGGTTGGTTATTAGATAGGACTTTCATTCTTTCTTAAACTTATGATATGGTAGACACTTTAGACCAGGCGGTACAGTCTCTCACATTTTTGGAGCGGAGAATTTAAACGGACGTCTTACCTAAGTTGGTGGATACTCTTGGCCTTAAATAATTCAGATTACTGACAAATCTTGTATTATGATTGTGTATACGCGATGCTGGAGTCAGGACATCAAGGAAAATATCGGAATGCTATCAGTTTCATTTCTCATTCTGTGTGTAAGGCAAAATATTTTTAATTTATATATACTACCTAATTCAAGGATAGCCTGCGTGGCAGGCGTTCGAACGGGAAGGGGAAGATAATTAGGGCGCGAGACCATGCACGAGGGACGAGGGAGGAGGGGAACGCCTGCAAGGAAGCCATTGTTTTCGCCATCCCGCCAACTAATTAAAAAAAATAACAAAAATAAAGCAACTGTGAATGACTAGCTGTCAAATAAGTCTGGCTTCGATGCACGTATTCTAGTCGTATTTCTTGCACTGTTTTTCTTTTGTTTTCCTAATACAAGAAATCTAAAGTAAAGGTACTATAAAAAAAGTTCAAATGCGGTCGTCCATCGAAGCAATCTTCCTTGAAAGTTGCAAAGACGCGTGCCGAGTTACGAGCTAATTTAAGGATTGTTAGGAGTTTGACTGAAATAGGGAGCAGCACTCTCTTTTAGGATGTACAAAGAAGATAGTGTGGAAACATTTGTTATGCCCAATACGAAGACAATCTAATCTGGTTTTGCTGGCACATCCCTAAGCAAGAATACCGTAACTTAAATAGGGACATTTTAAAGCATAATAAGTTTGTTTCAGTGATTCAGATCTATGTAATATCTTAGTTTTGAAAGGACTCCTAAATTTTTAGCTAATCTATTATTTACATTTATCTGTGGTTGCCAATTGAGATGTTTATCTACATAAACTTCCAAGTACTTATATGTAATCTTTCATCTGTTCAATACCAGTGATATTTATCTTTGGGTGGCATCTAGATGATGAGACTAACGTATAGTTAGTCTTTGCAGTGTTAATAGATAACTTATTTAGAGCACAGTAGTTGTAAACGCCTTTGATAGGTCGAGAAATAAACCACATGTTATTTGACCTTTATCAGTCG